GCATTTTTGCCTGATGTGCTACTTTCAAGAAATATATCTATTGCATTAACCAAAAATAACCTGTGTATTCTGCAATGTCCATATCCTAAATCACTTTCAGCATCACCACCATAAGTCATTCAAATATGATATTATTATTCAAATATTTGTCTTTTAATTTTCAAATTTATCATCAATAATATTTGCAATACTTAAAAATAGTTTACATTAAGTTTCTAATTATTATAAGTATTGTGTATCATTTATCTTTTAAATTATTACTTTACAGTTCTTTTCAATTTTTAAGTATTATATTATAGCACTTTTTTTTCATCATTTTTACTTTATAGGCATTAAGAGAGTCTTTAACTGAGCCTATGATGGGTTCAGCTGGGCTCATAATGGTCAGGGACATAGTCTGACATCATCAGTAATTGATTTTTAATTATATCAAATACAAAATTATTATTGTCTTTTAAAATAATTTTATAGACAATTATGGTAATAACTTTTATATTTAAACAAATTATTAAATTATTTGATGCTAACATCCAAGATCTTTTTCAATCTTTTTCAAATATCCTAATGCCTGATAAAAAATAATCTTATTCACATTTGCTGTCATAATATGTTAATGTTCACACAATCCTATACTGTGTTCAGAAATTAACCGAATGTACTATCAAGATTTTTACATTTTTGGACTTAGGACATCTTGAAATGTTGAGAAATGCAAAAAAAATTTGGGGGTAATTTCTGCATGTATGGATGTTAGCGAGTGTGGGGTGGTATGATTTTGTGCACCCTCGTTGAAGCTTAATAAAACTCCTGTGCTTTTTGTCAAAAATTTTTAAATTTTGCAGGGAGGTTTGTTTATTAGGTGGATCGATGCTATTAAATTTTGATAGTTAAAGGTTGAGGGGGGGAAGATAATGGGGGTCGTGTGTATCTCCAGTAGGGTCAGACTTAATGACAATTTTACTTCTCATTAGCATTTCAATTTTTTATAAAACTTATCCCTACCCTCAAAATTAAGCCTTTTGCCATTTTATAAGTTAAAAATATAAAGTTTAAATAAAATATGATAACAGACAGCACCACCAAAATTTTAAATGTTACCAGGAAAGTTGAGCAGCTCTTTGCTGGTTTATTTCTATTGTGAGTTACCGGGGACCAATAGGGCGAGTGGTTCCCAAAATGCCACTTAATCGGCAACGGATTGACGAGATCCACTCATGTGGTTTTTGGATGGCCTAGGAGGGTCTTTAGTAATATGTCAAGTGGGGAGGTCAGTGGGAAAGCCAATAGTTGTCCAAGGTTTGCTCTATCAAACCTTGGAAAACCTGGCTACCTGTCTCTATACAGGTAGCCAGGTTAACACATAGAAGTTTAACACATAGATAGATAGATAGATATCTAAAACTAAGAATATACAGAAATATGGAATATACACCTAAAGCTACATGACTAAGTATTTACATGCACTGTTCGCATTTTTCCTACATAGAGAGAGAGTTTACTACATATGGATATTGAAATACCTCTGAGAGATGCTGTTCTCTGTCTTGGTTGAGGTTGAGCTGTAATCAATGTCTTCCATTCTTATAAAGGTGATTCAGACCATCATCTTCTATGATGAGGGAGCCTTGGAAGGAGTCTGTTCTATATGGCATCTTGGAAAGTCCACAGGTGTTGGCCATCTATGGTGCATGGATCCTCTTCTCTGGGAGAAGTTGCTTCCCAAAGACAAACACCCCAAAGTGAGGGAGCTTCATCCTTATATTCGATTTTGCCTGGGAAAATGATCGGGTGAATGACTGGCAATGAATCTGCAGGTGTGAGGTCAGAGGTCTCCGTTGATGACATTATGATGTTATCCAAATGAAGCTATCATGACCATATTTGGTTCAATTCCCTCTATTTACTTATTCAACAGTTGACTTTCTCCTCCTTTGACAGCCAGTTGTTTAATCTAATGCTTGGATGTTATATTTCTCTTCCAGTTGTTGACAGAACAGGTTGTCATTCAATCCGTTTCTGTGTGATGTTTTCTTAATGATCACAATGGAGAAATAGGCTTAATAATTTTCTTAAATTTAAGCAAAATCAAGTGCTCGATCTCACACTATTTTGTGATTATACAAACTATGCCTACATTGGAAGCTTGTAAAGTACTATTTTATTTTTCCGACTTTTCCAACGATTATCGACACTACTGTGTGCCAGAAATAGCCGTTCCCTAACGGGTACTTTACACGGATTCGTGTTAGTGTGCCAGGCCTGGACTTTAAGCGTGCACCGAATTAAATAATGACAAAGTTTGTCAATAATAAAAATCAAATATTTAATTTAACTTCTAGTAATAAACTATATACAGTATTTAGTAAAAATCAAACAATAATTTATTCAATGAAATTCAACAAGAATCAACCCGACAAAACTCAAATCAATCTATTTCTAACTTAATTCTATTCCCCTTTGGAATTCGACAAAATCAAAGACTTAACTTATAAACAATAATTCTTATAAATTAAAGATCCTAATCGTCACCTCAATATACTAGGAACCTATTTCCTCAAACTATCAAGACTTTCTATAATCGTCGATCCACAAATCAAATAACTTCAAAATCGCCTTGGAACTATTTTATCCTATCGGACACCTCTCTCGTTCACTGCTACGAAGCTCGTTGCTACCAGGAGTTCCCCTCGTCCATTTTCACTTGAGACTCGGGATTTATAGTGTGAGGTGACATCACAATTCTGAATGAGATCACTCCCCTCATTTACATACTTATTCGCTAACAATAAATTTTTTTTTCTATTTGTCTGGCAGCCTATTTTCCGACAATCCTTGCTAACCTTTAACATTATTCTTTTTCACAATTTTCGGGACGTTTTTATTCTTTAAGGTTTANACTTATAAACAATAATTCTTATAAATTAAAGATCCTAATCGTCACCTCAATATACTAGGAACCTATTTCCTCAAACTATCAAGACTTTCTATAATCGTCGATCCACAAATCAAATAACTTCAAAATCGCCTTGGAACTATTTTATCCTATCGGACACCTCTCTCGTTCACTGCTACGAAGCTCGTTGCTACCAGGAGTTCCCCTCGTCCATTTTCACTTGAGACTCGGGATTTATAGTGTGAGGTGACATCACAATTCTGAATGAGATCACTCCCCTCATTTACATACTTATTCGCTAACAATAAATTTTTTTTTCTATTTGTCTGGCAGCCTATTTTCCGACAATACTTGCTAACCTTTAACATTATTCTTTTTCACAATTTTCGGGACGTTTTTATTCTTTAAGGTTTAGCGAGTCCCTAATTCGTGTTTGTGGGGTCTCCCCCCCTTTTCTCGGTGCGGACTTACTTTTTACTGCTCGGGAAGCGCAAGTGTGCGCGAGTTTTTCTACGGCGCTTTTCTTTCGTCAGTGAGTTGGTTTTTCTTCTATTTTTATGTTCCTAAGGTGAATGGTGAGGAAACCTTCGTCTTAACTAAACATAAGCCCCAAACAAAAATATAATAAAAGCAAAATAAAAGTAAAATAAAAATAAAGCTCAGACTTGGTTCCTTACAAGCTATACTTTTTGCAAAGATTCTGGTGAATCATTGCTGCTACTTTTCTTATGCTATTTAAGATAGTTAATTTGTGCAATTTTCTTGCAACAGTTTAATGATATACTTAACAGTTTCCTCATTCTCTTGGCAGATGTAGATCACTGTTAACAGTTTCCTCATTCTCTTGGCAGATGTAGATCACTGTTAATTCAATCATGTTTTAATTGTATTCATAATGCTTGTTCTTGTGTAAGAAGAATGAGGCTTATGGTTNTTAACAGTTTCCTCATTCTCTTGGCAGATGTAGATCACTGTTAACAGTTTCCTCATTCTCTTGGCAGATGTAGATCACTGTTAATTCAATCATGTTTTAATTGTATTCATAATGCTTGTTCTTGTGTAAGAAGAATGAGGCTTATGGTTTCTTTTTAATCTTTAAAGATTAAAAATTCCTTTTCTTAGACACTCCAATGTACTCATATTGTCAACTTTTCCTCAATATTCTAAATATATATAGCATTAGATAACTTTATTCTTCTAATGTTCCTTTCCTGTTAACAAATCAAAAAGTGCAGATGGCATTATTATTATATTTAATATAGTTTTTTGGTAATTCCATCTCAAATATTCCATTTTTTTCCATTTCTGTTTATTTGATAATTACATCTACAATGAATTGCTAATGGAAATAAAATGAAAGAAACAGAGAAAAAATGTAATGTTCGAGACAATATCATCTAAACTGCATACTATTACATGCTATGTGTTATGTTCAAACAACAAATTTGGAAATGCAGGTATATAGCAGTACAGTTTATTTAAAGGTTTAATACCATTTGAGCAATTTTTATGAAATATAATGTTGTATAAAATGATGTAAAATGTTTCTGTTTACACAGTCTAAAAACAGTACACAGTTCCTTTACAACATAACAACACAATTAAACTTTAATATATCAAACAAGTGAGTAACACTCTGGCACTCCACAAGCGAGCAACACTCAGGTACCCGACAATTATTTTATAATCACAACACTGGTTCTTGACCAGCCACACAGCTATACACTCTGGTAAGCACACTGGTCAGCTCCCCGGTCAGCACTCTGGTCAGTTCTGACTTGACACACCAAAAAGGAAAGCGCACAATTTTTCCCTCTCTAGGCAGGACAATCTCACCCCGCATTCTTAGAGATACAATTACATCAACCCACCTGACACATGTGACCATTCTGTGAACTGTACATCAACGCTCGATAACATACACACACCTGACACGTGTTACAATTTTGTTTAATTGTATGTCAGACTTAACATATAATCCACTGAAAATTATATGCTACTGTGGGTTACATATAGGAGTTATGGTAATTAAAATCATCATCTCTAATGAACAATTATATTAATATAAAAAAATATTTGAAATTATATTAAATAAAATACATCAAAATCATATAATAAATTTTTTTATTATAAACTATTTTTTAAATACTGTACATATAAGTTAGGAATTTTTTTCATATCATCAACTGGATGCATCTTTGTATATGAAATGAACTGACGCCTTAATCTTGTTAGTTCTGGCATTGTCAATGTTCTAGTTAATATAATGTTTTCAACATTAAAGAAAATAACATATATCAAATTTCTCAATGAAGTTATAGTTCCAGTTACTAAATCTCTAACTGCATTAGAACTAATTTTCGATAATATCTGGCCGGCATTGCCATCAATCAATTACTAAATCTCTAACTGCATCTCTAACTCTAATTGATTGATGGCAATGCAGTTAAGAGATTTAGTAATTGATTGATGGCAATGCCGGCCAGATATTATCGAAAATGTAGTTATAGTTCCAGATTTATCTATATACAATTATATTATTTGTAAAATGATATATTCTTATAAAATTTAAGTATAGATTAATAATATAATCTTGAAACAGAATAAAAATATAGATTTTTGTTGATTTATATATTCAATGTTACTAGAACTTACACTTTTTAATTTAGTCCACAATTCTTTAATGGATGAAGGCAGAAGACTTGTCTAAAAATATGACTAGGAAAAATAAAAAATAGAAATTTGGCTGTTGTAAACTGTAAAATGTAAACTGATAAGTCTATATTTTCTGTTTCAAAATTATTTAATAAATCTATGACTAAATTTGTCATTTCTCTTTTAATGCAATATCATAGTCACAATTTTGGTATAATGTAAATCCTAAGAGTTTAATAAATGACATGGTTAATCTTTCTCATTTAAAATAAATTATAAAATAGGTTACTTTAATAATGCTTGTTCTTGTTTACCATAGTTACTTTTTTCTGTATTCCATCAGAAAATTTATTTAATACAAGTTATCATTCTATCCATATAAATTAGAACAAATTACTCAGTAAACTCACATTTGCTCTGTTTCCATCAATGGTGGTTGCAGGACTGACTCCCGAAAAACCCAGGGGCATGGCTATTCCTTACATCCAAGATCATTATCCAGTGAAAGCTCTATATGCCCATGCACAGGGCTAATATGTCTTACAATAAGATATAATGCTTCATTAGAAAGTATGAAAATATTAACACAGTGGTACCTCAGTATATGTCTGCTTTAGAATACATCCAATTCAGAATACGTCCTACGTCCTGCTTGACGAAACAAATTTTGCTCGGTATACGACTTAATTCAATTATATGCGCCATCTATGAACAAGTAGCACTATCGGTGTACTAGGCCAGACTACTAGGCCAGTTCGTGGTGCCACAGTTTATAACTTTGTTAAATTTCTTCTGATTTCAATTTGTAAGTAAAATTTTATTTTTTTTATTAATCATGAATTGCAAAAAGACAAATGAAAAGCAACAGAAAACTAAAAAAAAAATGATTAGAATTACAATGGAACTGAAAAAAAAAATTATTGAGAAATATGAAGGTGGCATGCATGTTTGAGATTTAACTGTTGCATGCCATATTCCGAGAACAACGATATCGAAAATCTTGAAAAATAAAGACATTATTAAATCTGCTAACATGGCGAAAGGGGTTAAATCGATTTCTAAACAGAGATTGACGACATTAGATCATGTTGAGGAATTGCTTTTGCTTTGGATAACTGAAAAACAGTGTGATGGCAACAGCATATCAGAAGCAATTATTTGTGAAAAAGCTAAAAAGATACATGCTGATTTCATGAAAAATCAAGCAGGAACTAACCAGGAAAGCAAGGTGTTTAAAGCCAGCCATTTTTTTTTACATGAAAACGGATTAATCATTTTTACATTACTTCTTATGGGAAAGGTTGGTTTGGTATATGTCCTATTTGGTATAAGTCCAAATATCAGGAACGGATTAAGGTCGTATACCGAGGTTCCACTGTATCTTGCTCACATTTTATTCATTTTACATAGTGATAATTTAAATACAAAAAGTAGCTCTGATCAATTTGTTGGCTGATCCTCTATATTTAATAATAAATTGTGTAGCAATCTTTGCAAGTCCAAAAAGGTTGAGAACCACTAAATTAAATACTTAATTTTATTTTAATTCATAATTAGCACTATAAAACAATTTATAAATTTTATTTTGAAATTTTTATTATTCTTTATAAGCTCAGAATAATCATTTCTTGCAGATATAAATAATCAATCTTTGTAATATTCTCTCAATTCCATGCATATACTGTAATTCATATAATTAATTTTTAAAATTTTAGGACAAGAATTAAAATTAAATAAAAGAACACACAAAATACTGCATGACATTTGAAACTGTTTTGTTGATCATTTTTCTTATCATTACAAACTAATTTTTAAAGAGCAATGGTCATCAGTGTAATATAACAGTCACATGATAGCATATTTTAATTATTTCTACTAAATTCTTTAAATTCTATAACTTTAAGCCCAGTTTACAGTGAGTGACAAAATTTGCTTTGATAATTACTTTGACATCATACATCTGATGAGGTGTTCAAATTACAAAATTTTACCAGCCCACTAACTTATAATAAACCATTTATATTTAGAAAATGTATATTTTCAATATGAAACAAGTATTTTATAATTTCATTTAATTAAAGAAATAAAGATTTATTTCTTTAATTAACTGAAACTTTACTTCTTTAATTAAGTATATCAATTTTCATTTATCAAATTTGTAACAAAATTTTGAATAATCACCAATTTGATAACAACTGTCATATAATTTGACATCTTGATTAATTTTTTGTTCATTCTCCATGCCTTACTCAGGAAAATGGTAAATAACACTAAATAAATGAAAATGAATTGTTGTATGGTTTACAATCTCAAAGTTCACTAAATAAATTTCTGAACAATAAAATTCGATTGGTTCAATTCTGTACTTGTGCAATTTCTGTGTCATTTAGAGTCAAATTACAAAAAACTACACAAAAATCACATAGTGTGAACCTAGCTTTAAAGAAATCTGGTAATGGTGTCTAAACTCGTTAATTTAACCATAATAATCATGGTATTAATAGTTTTTGTTTGTGAAAATATGTCTATTTTATTATTATTATGCCTCACTTTGTAATTTATGATTTTTAAGCATTGATAATGAAGTAATTTCATAAGTAAATTATAATTTTGCAAAAAAGAAAATTGTTTTATATTTGTTATATCATAATATATATTGTAAACTATGCTTATTTAAATGACATATATTATATAAATCATTTAAATATGCATAGTTTTATTAGAATTTAATGTTATAATAGCAAACACATTAAAATCTTTGAATCTATTTCTCAAATTTAAATTTTTGCATTTTTAAAATATTTTTTTGATTATTAATTCGCAATTTGAACTCAAATCAGATAATTCTTATATTCAAAAATAACATGAAACTAAAGGATATATGTTCTGTTGCACCATCAATAGAAATCAGATCTCCAGGAACAGATGTTTTTTGAGCATTAACAATTGTCTGAAAATTATAAAATAAAATTCAATATAGACTAAATTTTATATAAAATAATAATAATAATAATAATAATAATAAATACCTTTGTAATATTTTGTGTAATATTATCCAATTCATACAGAAAATTTGTTGCTGCTAATGGTTGCTAAAAAAAAGTATGATTTTAATTAATATTCTTGAATTTATTAAGTGCTATTTTAACGTTTCAAATATTACTATACAACTTAACTAGTTAATTAGTTAATTATCAAAAATCATCAAAACATAGAGCTAATTCAATTAAGTCATCCAATCATAATTTAGTTAGTAAATCAGCACAATAATTAATAATTGCTGTACTAATTAACTAACCAGATTAATTTATATTCTAAATTTAATACATTTGTCTGGATCAATTTTTGTCAGATATACAAATAATACGTTAGCAACAGTAATAATTAACATTTCCAACAGATGTAAACACATATATGAATAGTTTAAAAATTTTTGTTTTTAAAATTAATTAACTCAATCCTAATCTAATGGGTTTTAACAACTTTTGGCAATTTATCCTCATATTTATATTCATTGATCAGAAATAACTTTTGAGTATCTATTTGCTAATAAATATTTTATTATTCAAACTTTATAACACAGTAGCCCTTGTTATCAGAAGACAAAGAAAAGACAATATAACTGAGTACTAAAAATTTTGGGCTTATATTAAACAGATTATACATGCTTATGGAATCTCTATCCTCTATTCTTTCATCAGTGAATGTTTCTGATATAAAATAAGCTTAGTTTGGCAATACTAAATTTTATTTGTGGTTATATCATATTAAATGTCATTTAAGTAAACATCGATACCATGAATGCCTATTTAGCATTATTATTTCTTTAATGACATTTAAAAACAAATATCATCAATATAAAAACAAAATATCAGTTGTGGTTTTATTATATAGTACTATATTTCATAATATCAGGTCAGTCCATAAGTTCGTGCGCATTTTTATCTACAAAAAAAAACAACAAAAAATTTTAATTAAATCTTATTTCAATCTATAATATATTCACCATTATTTTGTACAATTTCTTGCCATCTTGATGATAGCTTTTTAATCCCGTCTTTGTAAAATGATTTCGGTTTTGAATCAAAATATTAAGAAATAGCCTTTTTTACATTGTTCTCATCCTCAAAATTCTGCAAACTGCAAAAAAGATGATAATCACTGGGAGCAATATCTGTCAAATATGGTGGATGAAATAAAATTTCCCAGTTGAAGTTTTTGAGTTGAGTAGTTGACGTTGTTGTCAGTTAGCTATTGACAGTTCATGTGGTATCCATTTTCCTAGCTTTGAAACTTTTCCAATTTGTTGTAGATGTCTATGAACAGTTCCATGGGATGAATTTAAACGTTCCGCAATTTCATCAACTGTTAAAGATGGTTCTGCTTCAACTAGTGCAAAGAACATCATCATCAAAGTCAATGGGTCTTCCAGTACGAGCCTTATCCTCTACACTAAAATCATTATTTTTAAATCTTTCAAACCACTTCTGCGCAGTCCTTACACTAATTACAGTTTGATTATGAACAGTATTTAATTTTTTGGCTGCATTTGTAGCATTCTCATCACTTAAAAATAAAAAGTATAAAACATGTCTCTTATATCCATGTGTTACTTCCATTTTAACGAAAATAAACAACTGAAATGTTCCCAATTCTGAACAGTATTATATGAATGAGATCCAATTTAACACTTCAGTGTAAAAATTATGACATTAGACTGGCATTTTTAACAGCAAAACAAGATTTTTCTAAAGGTCATAAAATACACACGAACTTATGGACTGACCTGATAAATCACTTATTAAAAATTCAAGTAATTTATATTTTTCAATAAAAATTATAAATATAGTTATTGAAAATTTAAAAAATAAATACTGAACATATAATAGATCATCAAAACTTATAAAATTACAGAGAGTAAAAATTCTCTAAAAAACAAAATAAAGTTACTACAGTACTATATAATAATCTTAGAATTTTCCCTTCAGAAATAAAAAAATTCCTTCCTTACACATTCTGCCTTTAACTCTTAAATTTCACACCTTTATGTGAATTGACTCAATACTGTCAATTCACAAAAAGGTATGAAATTTCAAATTCATAGAAACTTGTAAGCAAAAAGAATGGTCTTAAAATCAATAAAAAAACAACTTTTAATATCAAAAGGAAACATAAATGAGAATTGATCTGTCCACTTGTTTTACTTATTGAGATCTTGATCAATTTATTGTTTCACCTGCATTGGTAGTTTCAAGGACAATTGCAGGAATAAAATACTCGTATTTTGTTGCAAAAAGAAATTCAGTGGCAATTGATATTTTAAAATTTATCAACTCAAGTGCTTTTAAAATTTGGGAGGAAAAAAAAACATGATATATCCAAATCTACAATATAACAAAGTACAATGTAACAAAGGACTACTGTATTTAAATTTCATATTGTAATGTTAGAGACAAGTTTTACAAATAATATGGTAATTTTTAAAAGAAAATTGAGAATTAATAATGCATACTATTGTGATAAAAAATATTGGGAATGGTTCATTTAAACTGCACACATTTAAATTTTGATGAATAAATTAAAATCTTGCATTTTATTGAATCATTTTGATACTGTTTGATGACAGGAGTACTCTGACTTTTAAAATAATGCTGGTATTTTATGAATATACCAATGGAATACCAATTATCAAAAATGAACAGTACAGGTTTTATTATTTATATTTTCTATTAATAACTTCATCTTAGCTAGGAAGTAACTACTTGTTGTTTTAGTTACATGTTGGCAATAAGGTTTCAGCACATTACAACTTTGATAACTAGCTGATGATCTATTGTCTGCTTTTAAAATTTTGAATTTGGAAGAAACTCTTAAATATTTTTAAGATTTTAAATTTTAATACATTTGAGCTCCAAACTATACATTTTTATTATTTTTATGTTGTATTAAGTAATTAGCCTTCCAATGATGAGCTGGGAAGATCAAAAGTACTTGGTTTTTTTTTGTACTAATGCAAATTTTTCAGTAAAATGGTGTTTTACTCGAATAAAAACTTGAAAATAATTGTTGATTTTAAACAACTTAGATCTTTTTCAATGTCAACATATATAATTCAATTTTAAGTTTTCTTAACTGTATTTACAGAATTTTAAAAAAGTATGAATGTATTTTATATTTTTTTATATTTTAAACTTGAGAATGATTTTCAATTCTTGTTCAGTCTTTTAAAAATTTTAAATTTAATTATCATCAAATAATTGTTTACCGACTGAGTTGATTGATTTGGCGGTGGTGGTTTCTTCATAAAAAGTACTTTATGTATATCCGTAAAGGGAAGAGTTTCATCTGAATGAACTGTAAAAAGTGAAGAATCCCATCTATTTCTAGAATCTGGACATTCAAATCTTTGAATGAGTGCATCAAAACTGTAAAACATTTATTTTCAATAATAATTAATATATAATAAAATTTAAAATTCCATGTAAAATTAGTCAATTAATTTAATAAAGAAAAATAAGTACTTACACTTCTCTTGTGTATTTATTTTTACAATTTATATTCCATTCCCAGCAAATGTCTATACTTACATCACAATGTATCTAAAAAATAAGTAATTACAACTATAATTATTGAAACTATAAAATTATTTTTTACTTTCTTTTCAAAACTATAAAAGATTCCTTACCACACAATGAATAGTTTTAGCAGCTTTTGAAATACAATACAGTTCATATCGGTAACCTATTTGAAAGTAAATAATTCTTTAAAGTAATTTTCACAACAATAAAAATTGATAGAATATAACTGATTATTTTTGGAAAAAAATAAATTTTCTCGATAGTGTTTATTAACAGTTTCCTACTTTACTATATCAACATTATAATAAACAATGCTGTATCAATTAATATCTTAATCTTATATATATAATTAATTCAATACATACAAGCAAACTGCATTTTATTGAGATGCACAGTACATCATATATACATATTAAAATAAGATGTCATTTTTTTGATTTTTTCATTTCTTGATCAAAGTAGAAAGATTCTCAACTTTGGCCAAATCAAATCAGACCTGATGAACAATTTTGATGAAACACTTTTGATTTGAATTGACCCATGTAAATGTATGGATTAACAGCAAGGGCGATGATCTACAAGGGACAGAGTAAACATGTCCTCCCAACATTTTTGTACTGGCAAATTGTTACCTCTCCCAATGTATTTTTTTAATTTTTAATTCTAATTTTTGTAGTATGATATAAGTACCATATACAACAAGTATACCTTACTTTTTATAACTACTCAAAACTCAATGAGAAATTGCTTTTACTCATTGTCATTGGCCTGAACGTTCCAATATTTACTGTAAACAGATAACTAAGAGAGCTTTTTATCAAGTCTGTTGTGAGTTTGACCAACTAGGCCCACAATAAAGTGGCTAGGTAGTGAAGAATGGAACCAAACCTATCTGAACAGACTGCCCATAAAAATTCCTGAAGTTTCTTGACCACCCTGATTCTATCCCAGATTCCCCATAGCAGTAGGCTGATGCCTTAACTACCTCAGCTATCTGACCAGTCAAACTTTCAACATTGTGACACTATGAAAAGTTGTGCACAGGTTAGAAATATGCTAGAATGCATGGAAAGACAGAAATCTTTCCACACAGTTCATGTAACACACACACTTGCTACTAAACAGCACATAGTTGGTCTAGATACATAATTCTATGCACTATTCAAATGATAATACACTAGATCTAGATTTTAAAGTGTCTAAGTGTAACCATATCTTAAGAATAATGAAGATAATTGAAATAATGCAAAAACTGTAAATTAAAACAGTCTTGAACATAAGAATGAAATGTTTTTACCATATAATTAATGTTTTCAAAATATTTTCAGATTTTAAATAGAATCTCATTTTAACAAATTGCAGAATGGATTTCTTGAAATAATGAATTTTTTTCCCAGGTCTCATCAATAAATGTTATTTTATCTCCTTTTAGAAGATCTGTAACTTGGAATAATGGATATTTTTATAGCCCCATCTATTATAAACTTCGTGTTCTAGTTAATATTTGGGTATTTTCAGAAATTTGTAAAGTTCAGTGATGCACTTTTTACATCTGGGATATGTACAATTGAAGAATTGTACAAAGAGAGCAGGCCAATATGATTCAGGAGAAGCCACCTAATAAACATTCTGACACTGGTCCAAGTTGGTTCCAAAATTTAGCAAGACCTTCAAATATTTCCAAGTCATGAAGACCTTTGTGAAAAGTTTCAGTATAAACCAACAGGATGTACTATACTAATATGATGACATTGATAATATTGAGTGATCATTATATTCAATAGGCAGAAAGGCAACATCAAAATAAAACAAGATGGATGAGTTTTTAACAAATCATGAAGTCAAATGAAGTGCTAAAGAGCATATGTACTGTACTCTGCCTCTGTACTCTGGCATACACATATGGTATAATGTATGATATTGTAACTATCTATTTATTCTGTAGAAATATGTATGAGATCTCAAGAGGTATAATATGGTATAATGTATGATATTGTAACATACATATTTCTACAGAATAAATAGATAGAGATCTCAAGAGACTGAATAATTTCAAGTACTGGTATTTCTTGTATGCACAGGGTAAATAACAGATATCTTCTCGGGTGAGTGGGAAATCCATTGTTTGTGAAATAATGGAATCTCGGAACTACAGATGATTTTTGGCAGCCTGATCAATCTGTTAAAATGAGATTACCCTATATGTGATTTAAGACATAACTGTGAAATATAATAAAATTTGGAAATACTAAAATTTTGTCTGTATCACATGAGAATGGTGAATCAATACCTCAATACCTACAAAACTTCGTACACATTCAGGAGAATCTGGGAAGGACAAAGGCTATAATTTTCCATTTACAAAATAATCAGATTTGATAAGCTTTGACAGAATTATGATATTGTTAGCAAGAATAAATAGTTCAATCTGGTTCTTACCAAGTCTTTCACATGAATAGGAAGTTTTGCCTGGAGGTCAATGCATGTGAGGTAAATCATGATATTCAAATACAACAGGCTAATAATGTGGTTATTAACATGAAAAAGTGGACATCAGTAAAAGCTAGTCAAATGAAATTTGATTGGGTTAGCCTGTTATTTGAGCAAAATGTATAAAATACTGAACATATGACCATTACCAATTTTATTAGTGTTAAACTGTACCTAGAATTTCTTTCAATATAAAATTATGTTTAGTCAGATTATAGTGCATTGGATTTGCTATATTTCTGTATTTTCTGAACTAAATTTTGAAGATTTACTTCTTACTTTTTCACAAAAGTCTCTGGATATACAGTTGAACTCAGTTATAATGAGCATTAGTGGACCAGCAAGATTTCCTTGTTATAACTGTTACTCATTACTTCCACGAAGAGTAGGACATAACTAGGGGAGAATGGGCAGCTGCTTCAGGCACAAACACATAGATGGCATCCTGTGGGTGGCAAAATTTGTAGCTACACCACTGATAATTAGTGAAATCTCTCTTTTAATTTTTAATTTTAAATAAGTTGATTCAAAAAAGAAAAATATGTAATTACATTATTACACTGTATTTTTATTAATAGGTAATATCAATTATGTTGTACTTTATATAAACAATTTATTTTTTGTAATTAATTTGTAATTTCAGTCAGTCTTTTTATCTACAAATTTTAAAATTAATGTTTGCTTTATTTTTTTCATAATGTTAATACTGTCTATGATGACAAAGAAAACTTTCTACACACTTTGATGATTTTAGCATCATATAACTTGTGAATAATTTCTACTCTTCATAAACCTAAAGACATTTTCTTTTCTTTATAGACATCTTTCTCTTAGAAGGGTTCATTTCTAATTAGAGTATACAGTACTTTTACAATTGTAGTGATGATTAGGTAAATTGGCAGAGTAGAGCCAAAAGCTAATAAAGAAAGAAAGGGACAGTCTTCAAAACAAAAGTTAAATGATAAACAGGCTATGCAGATCGAAAAACTAATTATCCAGTAGTCATAAAACTAAGTGATTCTTTTAGTTTTATCTTCTCCAAGAATTCAGTACAGTAGACCCCTATAAAACGGGTTCCTATAATTACGATTCCTATAAAACTGCAAAAAAATTGCGACGGTATCCGTAAAAAACGGTAAAAAAAACTCCTATAATTATGTAAAACGTCATCGGGCAGCCGAACTACTTTCTGCGCAATCAAGCGCCACGCTACGGAGAGATTACTATCGTCTGTACAGTATTATATATAAATTATATATAAATTAGGTATTGTATATATAATTATATATTAACTTAATTTATTGTAACTTTATTATAATTATATATATGCTTTCCGCCGCCTGGCGCTACGCTACGGAGAGTTTAGGCGAACTATCGTCTGTACAGTATGGAAATTAGGTACCGTAAGTCTGATACAGTACTGTAATTTTATACATTTCTTCTGAAAGAAACATTTCTTACTCAACGGCGATAAAAATTATTTATATTAATGATGTCTCCAAAGTTCAGCGAAGTTTTCGCAGAAAAATAACATCAGAAATCGCGGCCGCGGTTTGCTGAGTTGTTCCGCGACGAAAACAAGCTTGAGCAATGGCGATTTCGAATGGTGCACACTCGGTAATTAATCCTACAATTTTTTGTTTATAGCGTAGTTTATACGGATTATTTCCAAAAAAA